GTCCGCGGTGCTGCACGGCGCGTCCCGGGGAGCGGCGGTGCGGGCCGGCGGGCCGAGCCCCGCGCGCCGCTCGGAGCGCCCAACCGCCTCGGCGAGCGCGGAGCGGGAAGGCGAGCCCGCGGCGGCGGCCGTGCCGCGCTCCGCGCAGGTCCCGCAGCAGACCCCGTGGCTGTGGGGTTCCGGCCTCGGTGGCCTGGGCAGGGACCGCGTCTGTATTGCCGGGAGCTCTTGCCTCCTAGACCAAACCGCGGGGATTGGAACTGTGTATATTTGTTGCAGCTACTTACAACTAATTAACCGTGTTAGTTAGTTACACGAATTCACTCACTGGTGGTATACAGGTTGCATAATAAAGCCAATGACATCTAAGGACGAGGCCTTCACAGCATAGCATCACAGACATATGTGTACACCGCTATAGTAGAAGTATTAGTCATAGTTCTGTTTCTTTTAACTTGATTTTTTTCCTCTTTTCCCTGCATGGAAATCTCAATTTCCTCCAGAGGCTGGATCCATCCCACGGAATGTCAGTTGCCATCTTTACAATAGGCCAATCTTAAATGTGTTTATCAGTGAATCTGAGGCATCCCTGGTAAAAATAGGTAGACGTCCAGTGGAAGTTCATGGAAAACTGCCCCACTGACATCAAGGAACATGCTCACAAGTAGACATGCCTTTAGACTGAGCGGCACTTTGTGAATTATATCACAAATACTGGCACAAGGCCCATGCTTGCAATTAAATATTTTGGATTGATCCATGGTTCAAGCTCTGGCTATTGGGTGATATAAAACTGCAATAAAGAAATAATGTAGAAATGTAAATGCTGAATAAATAATTTTGTAAGTATTTGGTACCAGAGATTTTATCAAATTTGATTAGGCAGAGGAATTGTAAGGCCCAGTGTTATACATGTATTACAGTACATATTTAAGGCATGTATTGATCAGTTGTTTATAACTGATAGTTTGGAGACAGCATTTTGCTAACCTTTCCAAAAGGTTCAGATCTAAGATTTTTTAATAATCCAACAATCAGTAACAGTTATTTTCTCAGAACTTATTAAACAGAGTTACACAATATGATTCATGCAGCCATAAAGACACAACAATGCACCTGAAAGGCCTAAATCTTTCATGGAGACTGTCCATGAGGGATTAACCTCAGAACGGCGTGTGTCCTGGGCCCACCAGTCTCCTCCCCTCTTGCAATGCCCCCTTTTCTCCTTTTATTATTTTTATTAGGGTTTTTCCATTTTTATTAGGGTATTTCTATCCTGTCCATTACGGTTCGTCTCTGGACGGCTTCTCCAGCTGTGCTTTCCTGACCTTGCAACTGTTTCTCTTTCTGTGCTGGCTGGGTGAGGGGTGGGAGGACAGCTTTCCGACTCCCCTTCCAAGGTCGGAGCAGGGAATCTGAGCCACCCTGCTGGCCCTGGGGGGCTTCCTTGGGAGCCAGAACATTGCGCTCCAAGGCAGTCTCCATCAGTGCTGTTCTTTACCCCTCAGCTTGTAGATGTGTGTGTGAGGGGTGACGGTTATCCGGGGACACTTCTGTGAGTTCTTCCCAGTACGCGGAAATGAAGCTGTTGTGCCTTCTCCCCTTAGATAACCTGTGGAATGACCAGAACCTGGAGGCCGATCTTGACCTTCCTCCAGGATGGAGGAAGATCCACGACTCCTCGGGAACCTACTACTGGCACGTGCCCTCAGGCAGCACCCAGTGGCAGCACCCGCGCTGCACCCCAAGCCTGGCCTGTGGCGGGCAAGCCGCTTTGCCCGAAATGGTACGCTGGGGGAACCCTCCTGGGCATGCCGTCCATGCGGGCACTGATGGCAGCAACCTGTCGTGGCTTCCCCTGAATTAGGGCGGATTCCAGCGTATTGGTCACTTGGATTTTCTGCACGTGTGTCAGCAGAGATAAACCCAGGCAGCTCTCACCGCGGCAGATGTGTGGGGCCACTGTGGTAAATTTTAGCAAAGTTTCAGCTGTGGCTTCAGCTCCTCCCCACAGCTTTTGTGCACACAAAGGCCTCTGTGGGCTCTGCTTGGCTTGGCCGCCGTTGCCGTTCTGCCTGAGTCACGGGCTGACGATCATCTGGGTTTTGGAGTGGATACCAGGATACCGGCGATGGACAACTAGGCCTCAGTCTGAGAGAGCCAGGGTGGTGTAGTGGGTATGAGTGCGGGCCTGGGACTCAGGAGATCTGGGTTTGCCTTTGCCATGACCCCAAGCCCACAAAGGGGGCCGCAGAGGTAGCAGCCCCGGTGCGATTTAGAAATACTTCTCCTTGTCAGTGAGTTACTCCGTTGTTCTCTGTCTCTGTGCCTTCAGCAGTCCATAAGCTCTGGGAACTCACAGGGATAGTTTGGGTCTGAAGAAGCCTTTCTGTTCATTTAACCCAGATGGAGGTCATGCCTGAATGTGTGTGCTGTGCAGATTGCGTGGCGGGGGCGTGGCGGGGGAATGTAGGCACCCGAGACCTGGCAATGCCAGAAAGGATGGTGCCATCTCTTCCCCCACCCCATGTTGGCTTTCTGCCTGCAGAAATGCCCTGAGCATCTTCTCTGTCTCCCTTCAGGACCTCCAGGCCGCTGCAGGAACACACGTGCTGCAGGAGAGACTCGTCCCGAGTCCGACGGCGTCACTACCGAGGAGGTGAGGATGTGTGGATGTCTGTTCTGAGTGCAAGCGAAAGAGGTCCCTGGGGCCTCGTCCTGCACTCCTCTGGTGACCACACACGCAGTGTGGATCTCTGCGTATGAGAAGGAAGCAGACGCATTCCTGCTCCGTGAGCCTTTGGCACTCGTCGCAGAGCAAAGTTGCTCCTTCGAGCCGTCCCCGTCCCAGGCAGCCAGCTGCTTCCTGCTGTCACCCCAGTGGGGAGAGACTTGGGCAAAGCAGAAGTAGTTGGGGATGAGGCTGGGCACAATGAGTACTTGCAAGTAACTTCGCCGTCTCAGAACTTATAAATCTCTGGCGAGCTCCAGTGGAAACTGAGTGCCAGCGTGAATTAAATGTAGTGATTTTCTGGAGAGCCGGCAGCCCAGGTGCTCTTCTCCCCTTGCCTGGGAGCTGTGCTGGGGAGGGGCTGGGCTTGCACCGGGGGGCTGGGGACACCTGTCTCGCTGCTGTGTTTGTCTCGCGTCACAGGATGCTACCGGCCTGGCATGGGAAGGAGCACCACTGTGGCCACACTGAGCCAGGCTCCGAGGTACAGAAACTTTTCTTTTCTTCGATTTATCCATGGTTGGCCTACTAGGGGAAGTTGCAGATATAGGTGTGTTTGGTGACTGATTAGCAGATAAACAGTCAAGTGATGTGAACTGTGACAGGTCCCAAGCACAGAGGAAGGAGATGACATTTGGACAAAGAGAATCCTTTCAGCAGCGTTTCGTGTAACATGAGAGCCTGCAGGAAGCTTGTTCCACTCTTTCCCTGCACAATAGCCCGACGGATGTAGCAGTTTACTTAACCAGTTAGTGCTGCGTCCCTGAGTGGATGCCTCATCATTACCTCTTGGTATTTTGTGACTCAAGGAGCCTCGGTAGCAGATTAGCGGTGTGTTTTGAGCGACAGAGCCGCAGCAGAGAGATTCAAGAGCCATGTGCAGCTCTGGAGCCGCGGGTTGCCGACCCCCGGGCTGGGGGATGAGCTCGGCACCCGTGAGGCCCTTCTTGGGGTGGGGCAGGTTCAGGAAATTGCCTCTCCACAGGGGCTGGTGTGTAATGCCAGGGTTCCTCAGCCCCCTGGGGCTGCTGCAGAGAGCCGGGGATGTGCCACCTTTGTTCCTGCTCTGCCCGTTATGGCAGCTGCCTGAGACCATGCTCAGCCTCTCGCGGGGCTTTCTTGGCATCGCTGGCAGCATAACGTCACACGTGGCACGCTGAAGGTGCCTCGGCTGGTCCTAATCAGTCTGCTTTCTGGGCGAAAGGATGGCTGGAGGGTGCAAGTGGGGAGAGGAGCACGGCAAGGTAGGCGGCCCTGCACACGCCCTTCCAGTGACTCTGGGCTCCTCTCCCCTCTCTCCCCAGAGCAGTTTGAGGAAATGGGCTGCGCTTGCGCTCGGCGGGGCCAGCGGCACATTTCCTTGCCTTCTTGCTGCATTAAGTCTGGCCTTCCCCAGGAAACCACGGCTGCCTCACCCCGTCCCCCTCCTCTCCATTTGCCCCTCCCAGCAAGCCTGTGAAATAGGCTAGGCTGAGAGCCAGCTGTTGCCCCCCCCCCTCCCCGCCGGGTGGCCTGGTGGCCAAATGGGAGTGGGACGCCAGATCGCCCGGGTCCCATGTCAGTGCGTGAATCGCTGCTCCGCGTTGCTCTCAAGCTCAGGTTGCACTATGCTAGTTTACCTGTAGGCTGGTGAACAATGCACAATACAAAGAGAATAGTGGCCCCCTACCTAAATTAAAGCAGATCAAAATATCCTTAAAATTAAATTAGATTTTAAATTGCTATAATTAGGGCTGCAATATTTTATATTATAATTATTTTAACTTAGTGATGTAAGCCGCCCCGAGGCTTCGGCGAATGGGGCGGCATAAAAATGTTTTAATAAATAAATAAATACGTAGTTTATTAACTGTGATTACTAACCTCTTAGTTTACTAAAAAGATGGCCCAGTCAATTATGCGAGGCAGTCAGAGTTTTTAAAGTGCGTGTGTGACCTGCAGGCAGGGTGTGCTATATGCATCATCAAACGTGAAGAAAGTTGTGCTTTTTGAAGAGTGGAGCTACTGGGTGGCGTCCAGTCATAGTCCCATGTAGAACAGACCCACTAATGGAAGCAGACTTAAGGAGGCAATGCCTAATGCGAGTTCCATTAATTTCGGTTGGTCTGCTCTGCGTAGGGCCAAGATTGGATGCGACACACATGCCCCTTTAAGCAGATTTGACTCATTAAATATCCCTGGGAGTTGAGGCTTCTCTGCTCGTGCAGCCCCCTCCCTGCCAACATGAGGGCAACCCGAGAAGCACTCCCTTGAGGAACGAGACATCCGTGGGGCCTGCAGCGTTCTGGAAACCGCAGGTCATTCCTGCAGGTTCCAGAGCACTTGGTGGCTGCTGGGGTCCCACTGAGAGCAGCAGGTGTCACTCGCCTGGGAGCGCAGCGGAAACTGGCTGGGAGGGGGCGGGCTAGCTAGACGCGTGTCTCATGGCAACTCCAGGAGCAGAGCAATTTCGTGGGGATCCGTGGCATTATTTCTTGCGTATGTAACCCAGGCAGCAGAGGGGCGGGGCGGGGCGGCCACGGGAGGGAGAGGAGGCCCCGTGCGACGGCCCTGTGGCAACCCCGCCTGTCTCTCCCCAGTGCTTCATTGTGCGCTCCTTGGGCTGGGTGGAGATCCCTGAGGAGGACTTGGCTCCCGGGAAGAGCAGCATTGCAGTGAATAATTGCATCCAGCAACTCTCTCAGAGCAAGTGGGGCCCTGCCGGCAGGTGGGGCGAGGTGAGTGCCGCGGCACAGGGCAGCAGCCGGCCTCCGTCTTCCCGCGTGGCCTTCCCGCAACCATCCCGCCAAATCCAGCCGCTGCCGTCGTGGGCTTGGATCGATCCCGCCTCGCCGCGCTTCCTCCCATGGGCAAGCACAGGCTTCCGCTGCCGGGTCTCTCGCTTGCGGTTCCCCCGTGCAGCCTTCGGGGGGGCACACGAGGCGAGCCCCTCCTTCCATTCCCTCACTGCGGGTGTCACGGGGCACGGCCGACTGGCCTTCGGCAGAGTCATCGTTCACCGAGCTTTCATTTGGGTCGTTGTCAATGCAGTGAACACAGCCCGGGCAGCAACAAGTCCAATCACATGAGGCGGGGAAAAGACGGAGCAGGAGAGACGAGCAGGGTGGTATATAAATGTCACTCATTCTCAGTTTAGGGTGGTGTCATCTGCAAAATGCCAGGCAAGGAGTTTGGTACAGCATGCACAGCAAGCATCTGATCTCTGTAGTCTGAAATACATAGGTGTGTAGTATCAAACAGAGACAGGGCTTCTGCCCATGGGCGGATTGCTGGATTTAATTTCCCTGTAAAAGAACAGGTTGGCTCAGTTATCCAAAACCACACTAGGGCAGCCAGCGGTGCAGGCTAGTGCATGCCTTCCGTCCTGAGAGGAGCTTCCATGCCGCAGGGCAGCATTCGACCCGTGCCGTTCTGTCTCCGAGCTTCTGATGTGTTTCTGAGACCAGCCCTGTCCAGAACGGAGAAAATCCAGGGCGTGTGTGCAGAGGAGCCTTCCAGTGCTCCTGGCTCTGGCAGGCACACCTCAGTCACGTCCCCAGCGAGGGGGCGCCCTCTTGCCTCCCCCCTTCCCCCCCGTGCCCCCGTTGCAGCGCCTGGCCAGCCAGCAGTGAGTCTCCTTGCAGGGCCAAGACATGGTGATGATGCTGAAGGAGGACACGATGAGCCTGCTGGACCCCCTGGACTACAGCCTCATCCACTGCCAGCCCATCATCAGCATCCGCGTCTGGGGAGTGGGCTGCAACAACGGCAGGTGAGTCGTGGGGAGGGGCCGCGTCCCTGCCACGGCCGTCGCGCGATGTTCACTGCGGGGCACTGTGCCACACAGACCTTCCGTCCGCCTGTGGTCCGGCTGCCCCGCAAGCCGTCCTTCCCTTCTCTCATCGGATGCCCCTGCAGCGCAGTCTGGCTCTGCGGTGCGGCTGCTCCCGCTGATGCCCCACATTAACCCACCTTTTCTCTTTCCTCCATGCTGTGCATGCCCAAGGGACAGGTAAGGGCCCCCTCCCCCACCACCTGGCCCCGGCAGCGCCCGGCCCCGGCTCACACGGTGCTCTCTGCGCAGGGACTTCGCTTTCGTGGCCAGCGACAAGGACGCCTGCATGCTGAAGTGCCATGTCTTCCACTGCAACGTGCCCGCCAAGGCCATCGCCAAGGCCCTGCATGAGATGTGCTCCAAGGTACCCGCCGACGTGTAGTGCGGCTCCGCGCGTGTGCACCGGCGAGGAGAGGGGGCAGCACCGCCTCGGTCGCGAGGATGCCGCCAGCCACATTTTGCCCCAGCCGGCTGGCGGGCTAGGGGAGGGCTCCTGCCACGCCTCCCGCAGGCCTCGCCATTCCGGGGCTGCTCAGAACTGGCGTCCTGACCGGTGCTGCCGGAGGCGAGGGAGCCTAGCGGAAGCCGCATTCCTACTTGGCGGCAAATTGCTGAATAGGAGGGCTGTGTTCTTCTGAGCAAACAGGTGTCGGGTCAGGTCTTCCGTGTGAATTCTGATTTGTGGCCATGCCCTTGGACATCTGAAGAGGCACGCCTCCGCTTGTCCTTAGCTGGCCCTCTCCTGGTGTGCCAGGAGGAGTCCTTGCTGAATTCTGCCCCCACGCCGTGCTTGCGTAGCAGATCCCAGCTGGGAACGGCTTCTCTCTGTTCCAGATCATGGCTGAGCGGGCTGTGGCGAGCGGCGGCCTCACTCGGTCCGTCACCCTGGAGCCCCTCGTGCCGGAGGACATGCCCCAGCAAGGTAACAAGCTCCGAAGCGGTGCGAGACCCTTTCCGGGGCACAGCCGGCTGCATCTCTGCCCTTGGTCTTTTCCCGGAATTGAAGCAGTTACTTTGGGGCTCAAGCGCTGCCCCACACTTGGCCAACCCCGAGAAAACTGTGCAGCCAAACAGCGCGAGGCCACATCCACTGTATTTTGAGTTGGTTTCCCATTGCCGCCTCCCCCAATTGGATGGACAATGTGCACAGCTCTTCCATCTGGGGCTTGGAGGCGCCTGTGCAGCCCTCCTGGGGTTGCATAGGAAGGGATCTGTGATGGCAATAAATGCACAGCAGGCCGAGATGTCCTTTGAAAAAGCAATAATGAGAGTGAAAGCGCTTTCAGGATCTTTCAGAAAACGGATGGGGCACAAGCGGCAGCGGGCGGGAGGCAGAACCTGCCACGCTCCCGGCAGTCTGGAGCATGGCCGCTTGCGTGCCGCACTGTGGGAACTGGGGTGATCTTGGTCAGGCTGCTGAGCAGCACAGCCACCGCAGTAGAATTTGGCAACTTGCAGAACCCTCCCTATCTTCAGCTCTGTTGAAGTCCGATCAGATAATCTGATGACGTGACCATTATGATTATGCTTACGAAGAAGGATAGCTGCATTTCTCTGCTGCCCCATAGCCAACGCTCCCCGAGAGGGTTACAGCAACATATAAAACAAAATTAGAATGCAATATGAACTCCAAAAAACAACTGTGTTAAATAGCTTTAAAAATACAGTAAAAAAGACCCTGCAAAAGAGAAGGCCCTGGATCACCCAGGAGATGCCTGCGGGCCTCCAGCTCAAGGGTGGACCTGGCACAGAAGAGGCACAGGCCGCAGCAAGGAGATTGCTGCAGAGACAGAGGGGCCGCCCTGTGAGCCTTCTCGGGGTTGGTCCCAGGAGGAGGGCCCAGAGGCTGAACGGGTGTCCAAGAAGACTGGAGCTGCGTGAGGCTCTCCGGTAGCGTCTGCTGTCTGAAGCCACGTAGGGCTCTGCAGGTTAAAACCAGCACTTTGAAACTGACCTAGATGCAAACCGGCAGCCAGCGCAGTGGGGCCACACCGATCGGCAGGGCTGCCTTTTTAGGCTGAGCTGGAAGGCTGCATGCTCCCTCCAGCTGCCATGGTTGGCAACGGCTTTGCTCTAGTGACCTGGCGTTTATTCACCAAGCAGCAGAATGGAAAGGTGATGCTCACCGGCTTTTTTTTGCTCCTGGCAGCTGACGTTTTGGATGCCGTGAGAGAGTCTCTTCAGAAATACGATGCTCTGTTCATCGGCAGTGTCCCAGTGTCCAAAGCCATGGGTACGTAGCTCTCACCGGATTCTGCCGGGTGTACCTCCGTGATGCTTACAGTATGGCAGGTGCTGCTGCTTCTGAGAGTCTGTGCTCAGCAGGTACAAAAGGGACTTGGCCGCCTCTGGAATCAGAGCCCGGGGGCTGAGGAGCCCCGTCGCTGGCTGGGGGCGGCCGGCAGTGCCGGCTCACCCGCCTCTTCCTTGCCTCCCCACGCCAGGGATGGAAGTGCTAAACAACGCCATCGAGGTCCTGATGAGCAGCCGTGCGCGGGACCGGTGGACTCCGCTGGTCGTGACCATTTCTGACTCCGTCATGCAGGCGGGCCCGGCTGAGGTAAGGCTGTCGGACTGTGCGTTGGACTTGGGGAGGACAACGTTGTCCGAACGGAGCACCCATTGCAGCTGCAGAGGTGGAAGCACTAGTCGGTTCGCACCTGGGGCAGAAGTGCAGCTCGCCAGAGGCGTCTCTGCCTCCTAAGCTGCCTGTGCTGTGCTGCGCTCTTCCAGGTGGAGGACGCCCACGTCTGGGAATGCCAGGTCCGCTACATCACCTTCATTGGGATTGGGAAGGACGCCCGCTCGTTTGCGCTCATCAGCGACATGGGGCAGCAGCGTTTCCAGTGCACGGCTTTTTGGTGTGAGCCGGATGCCGGCGCCATCTCAGAAGCGGTGCAGGCCGCGTGCATGGTAAGAGCCAGGGCCTCGCCTTCTCCCGTGGCTCATGCCTGATGCTCCCCTGCCGGAGGACTGGCCTTTGGCAAGGTTCAGAGCTGGGCCTCATCCCCACAGCTGGGTGCTGTCCTAGCCTCAGCCTTGTCAAGGGGCTAAGCGGAGGCCTACAGAGAACAAAAGCCATCCACACAAGAGAGGCGCAGCTGCTGTTGGCACCCGTTCATATATGGGTGAACACACTGCCCCAAACCGCAGGTGTGTGCCAAGGAAGAAGCAGAGATCGGCCTTGTTGGGTTTGGTAGGACATAAGCGTCACGGCACACGCCGCATTCGCCCACGACCTGTTTATTGTTTCTTGGGTAGGTGCGGTATCAGAAGTGCTTAGTGGCTTCGGCATCCCAAGCGAGATCCAAAAGCAGCCCACGCGCCGCCTTGAAGATGAGAAGGACGATGTCGACGGACTCACCGGGGTGCCCCTTCCCTGCCACGGGGCACTGCCTGCAGAAGAGCGGCAGCCGGCCCGCTGCGCGCAAGAGGGGGCTCCTCGCCTTCCTCGAAGCCTTCCGCCAGAAGCATCCCCTTCTGCACGCCCCATAGGGCGGGGTCGGGTCCTCCACTGCGGCCGCCCCCCGGCTCAGGCGCAGAATGTAAATAGCGCGCTTTGGCCCGCTGCTGCTTCCACCGAGGCTGAATGGGCAGCGGGTCCGAGCAGCGCCCGGTGGGGCCCGGGCCGATTCTGGGAGTGCCATGCATATTTCTTCTAGTCCTTTGCTGTGTAGATGCTCTGAGGAGGTGGCATGGCTGCTCTCGCTGCACACGAATGTCCAGACTGTTCCTCGGCATGCGGAGCGGGCAGGATCCGGCGCACCAGGATCAAGGCTTAAACTCTTGCTCTCGTGGCCCACTGGAGTTGGCGGCCAAGGCCAGAGCAGGCATGCCAGCTTCCTGAGACAGTGTCCTGGTTGTGCATAGTAAAAGCTGTGGACCTTTCCCATAATCCTCCCGCTGTAGCATGAATGCTTGGCATCGGGATGCGGCTGCCGGCCCACTAGGAGGATGCAACCGCTGCAGCTCTGGGGGGCAGGCAGGCATCGGCTCAAGGCGGCAAAGTGGCTTGCGCACTCTGGGCTAGTCAGGCGTGGGTACAGATAAACAGCTCCTTTGAAAATGACAGAGTCTCCCGACCTCTGCATTCAGACAGAGACACCGCTCCATCCATGGCCACATGCTTCTCCTCACGGCAAGCTGCGCAGCACAGGTGCCTTGGCATGGCTCTCCTTTCTTTGGCAAGCACTGTGCCAGCTCTTTGAACCTTCCAAACGTGTTCCAGAACAAGGACACCGGGAAGCTACCCTTCCACAGCAAGCCGGCGACCCCAGCTACGCACAGACCGCAAACGCCAGGCCTAGCTCCAGTGCTCGCTAGCAGAGCGCCTGTAACACGCGTGAGCGAGGTGTGCGCGTGCCCAGCGCCAGCATTCACAGCTGCCGTGCGTGGCCAGGCCGGCGCGCCTGGCCGGCACGGGTGGGGTGCTGCCGAGGCCCACCGTGGCATAAACGTGGGCAAGAGGAAAGGGCGGCTCTCCACACACATTCCTTTCTTTTTGGTTTCAGGTCTGATGCAACCTTTATCTTATTTATACTCAGCCATGGACTAAGATAGGCTCACGTCTACCTCAGCAAGACTTTATATCTGATCATTTGTGCTAATAAAGTATGAATATGGAGGAAAGCTAGACTCGCATAGTATCTGGTCCCTCTTTCCAGATGTTTCCTTGAGTCACACCAATCTATTTATTCAGTTTATTTCTGGACCACCCAATAGCTGAAACTTTCTGGGCTTCAGCAGATGGGAACTGCTAATGCAAAAAGGAAAGTAAGAAATTCTTGTTACGTATTTTGGATGGAATATTAGAAACAGGCTGGGCCTCGGAACAGCCCAGTGCAAGGGCCGTGCCTCCAGAAGACCTGTGGCTGGCAACTGGGTATTGTGGGGGGCCACTCTTGGCCGCTGTGGTCCAGGAAGCCTGGCTGGAGGCGATGCAGCACGGCCAAGGTGAGTATGGGAAGGCAGGAGGCTGCAGGGGCCCCCCGCACGTGAGCGCAGGTGGCCAGGAAGGGGGACGGCTGGCGGTGGGCACTCCAGGAACCACGGCTTTGGCCTTGGTCCACTCGCTGGCCTTGGAGCCTCGCCCAGTTCCCGGGTAGCAGAAGCCACTTTCCCCAGGACTGGCACACCCCTGAGGGTCTCCTCCGTGTAGCCAGTGGATGGCCAGAAGTCTTCTGAGGACATTCAAGGGTCCACGATACTTGGCCTCCCAGCTGTGGCCCAACCCTTTCCGGCCCATGGGGATTTTCAGAAAATGGCCTTTCCAAGGCTGCCTTGGGGCATCTGGCTTGCACAAGACTCTTTCAAGGCAAATTTTAGCAAGTTCAAGGCCCTTCAGAACCTCAAAGCAATGTGCAAAACTATGTGCTTGGCCTTTCCAGAGAGCAGCAGAATAGAACTTGAGTCAGCTGAGTGCTAACACGGCAACAAGTGGGGGGATCGAGTAAATAAGCTGCTGACATCCGCAAAACTATCCAGGAAGAAGACTGCCATCAGCAGAGACACCCAGGCCGCTGGGGGGCAGCACCCCCCGCTTCCAGGAGTATTGGCAAGCCAAACAGGAGAAGAACTGCATCTGTTGGCCAATGAGCCTCCAGCTGCTATTCAGGCAAGGCGGTCCTTGTACAAAACAAGGGAATAATAGTCCAAAGTGCATTGAACGCGTCCAGTTTCGCTTACCATCTTGTTCCGGCCCTGAAACACCAATTTCCCTTCTACTTCTCCACCCCCGCATTTCTTTTCTGCCTTGTCTTTTACTTTGATGCCGGATTGCCAGCACTGCCTCTTAACAGCTATTGGAGGAAATGCCTGAAAAGCAGCATAAAAATACAGCAACAAAAATGCACGTGCATGTCAAATGCCTCCCTGGGGGCGGGGGGGGGCGGGGGGGGGGGGGCGGGGGGGGGGAGACATCCTGGCTTTCTCCTGCCTGCCAGATGCAAATAAATGACTGATGAAAAGGAAGAGTGTGTGTTTGACAACAGAAAATGACAACAGAATAATCCCAGTTTAAATATAGTCACAGAAACAACATGGAAACACTTTTCTATACTTAAGCCATTGAAGTAAATATTCGTTTATTTTGTTATTTTTAACCTCTGCCCCACTTCTCATTATACTGGGCTCCAGGTGCACCTGCCTTGAAGGAAGGCAGCACCCTTGGTACAGAAAGCACTTCCCAGAAGACAGACAGGAATGGTTCCATGAAGGTGTAAGGAAGACAAAGAGCAGGAACTCTCGATGGAGTTGGGAATCATGAGCAGGCCTTTGCAGTGGCTCTGAGCAGTTCAGGGTCCATTTATCACTGTAAAATTAAGCAGCTTTCCAGCAGCCGAGCTCTATTCATGTGTGTAAGTATAAGGGAAGTTAGCATCTTTACTCTCAAATCGTTGCAGATTTCCAAAAGCTGCTCAGAGTTCTCTGGCTTACCTGAGAGATTCTTCTTGATTCAGCTTTAGTCAGGAGAGCAAAAGCTAACCTGAGTAGATAGCTGATCCACAGCAGAAGCAGTGGGGTCGAAAAAACAAACCTCACTAGCTTGAGCCGCCCCCAGGATGAGGCCCAGATAAGCCTGGGCGGAGGCCAATCTCACTGGCCCTCGCGCTCCACAGAGGCTTCACTGCTGCCCAGGATCTTCTGCGGGCAGGTCACCTGCATGCAAGTCCTTTGCTTCCGCAATGAGCCTTTTGATCCCCACCATCCACTGGCTCACTTCTGCGACGTGGTCCACCATGAGGGAACGATGGATCTCATCCGCAGATTCCCAGCGCTGAGCCTCGAGCTCTGAAAGTATCAAGAGTCAAGCTTAGAGCTTCACAGAGTGCTAGACGGCATCCCCTACCAGACAGCCGCTCCTAAGGAAACCGTTGAGCCAAGCAATTCAGGCCGGTGTGATTCTCTGGCCCCCGCTCCTCTCACCAACGCGGGCTTGTGCCGGCTCTGCTGAGCAGGGCTTGTGCCAGAGGAGCAGCGTGCAGAGGGCAGAGCTGCAGGCCAGGGCCACGGTGGGAACGCTGAGGGCAAAGTATTTGCTCTTGCGGCTTACCTTGTGTCAGAATCCCCATTCCCCTCCTCACGGGGGCAGAGAGGTTGCCTTGCACCCACATCTGCTGCAGCATTGCCAAGCGCTTGCTGATCTCATCGCAAACCTGTTTCTGGAAGCAAAAGCACAAGGATTAGCAGCTCACTCTTCTCCCGCAGGCGTCTTCCGACTGCTCCCTAGCACAGAAGGTCTATCCTTGGTCCTCAGCTGGGAAGAAGAGAAGACACAACAGCTTACTCAGAATAAGCAGGCCCTGGTTGGAGTTGCCTGCATACTCGCCCCATTCCCTCCAGCCCCTGGGCAGCCAGATCAGTGCCACGCTACAGTGCGTGAGCGCAGGCCTCCCACCAAGCCCCGGGGCCCGTGGCGGGCAGGGCAGAGGATGCCAGCCCCTCCCTGCGAGTCTCATCACTGATACCCGCCCTTGCAGGGCCAGGACATGGAGGGGGGCTGCAGGGGTGGGCAGGAGGGAACGGGGGCAGGAAGGGGAGATGGCGGCGCTTCTGCCCACCGTAAGTAGTGGCACCCCATGGCATGGCCCAAAGGGATGCCACCATGGGCAGAAAAAAGGATTCCCCACATGGACCCCAAGTGTGCGCTCGGAAAGCTGCTGTGTCACTGCAACCCATTTAGTGCAGAGGAGGAGCGCTGATTCTCAGGCACGGACGGGGGCAGAAGACACGGCAAAGGAAACTGCGAGCGCAGGACAGCCTCCGGCTGGTCATCCTTTCCCCGCAGCCTGCAGTGCGCAGGGATCCGGACCCGCCTGCACGGAGGCCCATTCGCAGGAGCCGGCTTCCCCCTGAGCCCGCGGCGCCCCTCACCTGCGCGCGGCCCCTGCACGCCTCCAGAGTCGCGCCCAAGGTGGAAAGCACGTCCTCCGCTTCGCACGCTTCCTCGGCATCGGGGCCGAGCGGCTCCGCGACATCGGCCCCTGGAGAAGCCCCCGGGCGCCGGGAAGGCCAGCTCGCCGTGTGCGCGGGTAGCGGCGGCGGTCCAGCTGCGGAGCCGGGAAGGAAGGCGAGTCAGGCGACAGCGCCTCCGGGGCCCCCAGCCTGCCTCGGAGGAGCGCCCGGGGCGAGGCGCGTCTCCGCTGCCCCCCGCGCGGGAAGCGGGCCCGGGCCGCGCGGCAGCCCCTCCGGGGCCCGGGCCGGCCCAGGGCGCCCCCC